TATACACATCATGTCAAAAAATGTCTTACAACAACTATAAACACAAAACTTATCCAGTCCAAATCTTTAGATTACTGCTCTATTGAGCACTATTACTTGAAGGAATTTGTTCGTTCAAAGGTAATATAGTGCGAAACATCTATACAAATTTTACTGCATCGATGTTCTAGCTAACACTGCCTTACTTCCGACGGTCGTGGGTTCGATTCCTCGCAAGGTACGTATATTTATATTCATGAGTATGATTGTTTATATTGATCTGGGTATTTCTTATGGATATTATGTAAATATTAAAAAGAAAACAGTATATTTATATCAGTTTTTTAGTACCCGTAACACAGGCTCTGTTTTGCTTGCTCGTGCTCTATTCTACTTGGTTATTAGTATAATTTTCATTTATAAACTTTCTGTCCTATTCTTATAAGATGTATGGGAGATGTGGGAAGACTGCTATTATAGAAGGTAAGAATAGCAGTAAGTTATTTTTCTAGGCAGAAAGCAAAAATATCGTGGTTGTTTTCAGCAGACAGGAGTCCAGCAGTATAACCGCTTCCAACGTCTGAGGATACAAATGTTTGCACTGTACGATCGAATACCGTAAATCGAACCAGTGACCATCGGAAATAAAGTTGTGTGTTTAAACCACTAGATCACCGAGGTTACTATCACTAGATCACTAGATCATCAATTTGTTGTGAAGGTTGTGTTATGTCACAAAAAAAATTTGTACCACCATTAGGTATACATTTTATATAAAGGAACCTCTAGAGAAACCATGTCAGTAATGAACTCATCAACCATTACCATGATTACCACACATTATGATACTTATCAACAATACAAATCTATTTAAATAACGAGGTATTTCATTTTCTAAGTAAATAAAAATTTTAATAACGATACGTAGATAATTTTACTATTTTGTCATGCTTTTTGTGACAGAATATCGCTTTAGTTCTAAGATAATATTTTGCAGACAAAATCGAGTAATGATTATCATAATAATAGTCGATTGTAACATTTAATATACCTACTCTCCTGAATTATCATTAATCGACTCAAAAAACCTACGAGCTTGTCAAATCGGATGTATTTTTTTATGTTTATTACATATGACGTTATTTCTAAATTTATTTGGAAAATTCTGTTGTGAAAGACTTCACTTTCAGATTAGACCCATAGGTATTTCACCTATAGGAAATGGGTTTGGTTATGAAATCAAAGCAATATGTTGTTCCTGGCCATATTTATAAATGACTGAAGGTTTATTTCTATGAAAATTATATTATTTACTAGATGTTTCATTGTATATCACTTTCCAAATCCTTTTTCTCCATTTTGGAATTTGCCCTACTCGCTATGTAAAGTAAATATACTACTCGGAAAAACAATTATATAAACAAAATAATTATATATAGCTTTTAAAACATATGCAAATGCTTCCATAATACCGTTATCAAATATTTTATTTGTCGGCATATTACTTGAACTACGTTGATTCAAGATTAGTTCGTTATCTTCAAAAATAACAGGTCTATCAATAATTGATTTATATTTTATATTAATATATGTATATATTGATGTCTCAATACACCATTCATAACTAGTGATAAATTTGTTGTAAAAATATCTTCTTATAAAAAAAACAAATAATTAATACAATGATGAAGACTTTTGAATTTGTTTTATTCATTGCTGTTTTGGGTGAGTAATTCTTAAAATATCTAAAAGTACTTACTCCTTTTGTTTAAAGTACAATAGAAAATAGGTAGCAGGGCACATAGCTCGTAGGACAGATGGCCGTTGGGGCAGTAAAGTCCTCGAGTGGCGACCACGGACCGGAAGACGCAACGTGGGAAGGCCTCCAGCAAGGTGGACCGACGATCTGGTCAAGATCGCGGGAAGGCATTGGATGCGAGCAGCGCAGGACCGATCGTCGTGGAGATCTTTGGGGGAGGCCTATGTCCAGCAGTGGACGTCTTCCGGGCTGCGATGATGATGATGATGATGAGAAAATAGGTAATTAATACTTCCATACAGATATTCTAAATGAGAAAATTTGCCTCTCCCTCTATTTGTTACCTTTTCAATAAATAAAAATTAAATATCTTTATTTTCATTTTTGGCTATTTGCAAAAACAATTGTCAACAAACTACAAGTGTGTTCATATTCGAAATTGGGTTCTATATCTAAGTTACATCTTTAAAACTTATCTCTTCTATATACTTATGTTATAATAATAATATTCAATAAACATAATTATTGAATATTATTGTTTATTTACTATTACACTATTTCTTGAAATAACCATCTGCTGATTTTGGTTATTAAAAATTTACCTAAACATATGTAAATGTTCGACGACGCACGAGTAGTGTGAGACTCCTACTCACCATAAACCCCACGATATTCCTCCTCGCCGCAATAGTGCCAGGTTCGCGGGATCGAGGTGATAATCAACCGCGACCACAGCGGCGGTTGCCCGCAAGTGGGCCCTCCTCAGCGCGTGGGGGGAACACTTCCCAGTTCCCCCGCCTCCGCCCACCGTGGGGAAGACGCACCTTAATACATCTCCTTCCAATCTCGGCTCCTGTAGTGTGGACGGCAGACTTGAACCCCTGAGACTGCCGCCCATACAGCGCCGCGCCCACTCCGCACGTGTCTCTACAAGAGTAGAGTCATAGCAGGAGCCTGGAGTCATAGTGGCCCACTAAGGCGACGCTTAACGGCCCGAACGGGCCCCATCTGGGCTCATTGTTCAAGCCTGCGCTGCCCCTCTTCGCCGGACTATCAGCCGACATAGTAGCAATATCCCGAACGAACTACTACTATCCCGCCCTGGGCGTACCAGAACCAAAACCATTGCTCGGCCACCGTTCCCCGCGGACGTATCCTCGAGGATGGGGAAGCCTCCCAATGGCTGGAATATACGAGGAGGTTGTCCGACTCACGCCCCTAACTCACTAAACCTGATTTATGATAATCAAATTTCATTTAAAAATGATTTTATAAACATCATATTAATCCTTAAGCAAATAAATACGTATTTATTGTACGGAATAAAACTTAAAAAAAAAATATAGTTTTCATTATTTGAAAGAACAGTTTAAGACATTAGAACTGATACTTACTCACTGACTGACATATCTACGCGGTTTACAAATTCTCATATAATCAAAATGGAAATTTCATGAAGTTAAGTTTACGAGTTTAGTTAAGTGAGCGAAGCCGGGGCGGGTAGCTAGTAAATTATAAAGTGAAAATACTTTAAATCACATAAACTATGTTTTATCTAAAAAAAAAGTAGACAAGTCTCGGGTCTCAGTTAGTGTTATATAAATCTATATACCATGTTATATATAACTTGTGCAGTTCTATTTAGAGTATTAAGAAGAGTTTAATGTACCGACAAAAATAAAAAACGAACACACCTTGAAGAAAAAGCATTGGCGAAACCATAAATAACAAATTTAAACTAACAACTCAAAACACTCTTTTCAAGCCATGATTTATTAAGGATAAATGAAATACAACTGGACCGATCTATAAAATTTATACGGGACTAGAAACATTTATCTATACATACAAATAAAATTAGAGTGTCTGTGTGTAACATTGAAATAACCGGTTTTTACTACATATATCTGAATATAAATACTGGGCATACACCGAAATAACATGTCCGAGGTTCGAACCCCTTGTGGTGCCCTCAGACTAAAGTAGTATCAATCTTGCAGGAGTTGGCCTTCAGCCGCTCCATAAGTCCTTCCGCGGATTTGGAATGCCATCTGCACTCGCCCCCTAACGTCCGGTGAAGCTGTAAAGGCCAGCTACGGCCAACAGCATTAGAGTAGTCCGAAAAAAAAAACAAAAAGAAATAACATGTCTGTTTGTTCCGGTTAATCTCTGCAATGGCTGGACCGATTTGACGAGACTTTTTTTGGCAGGTAGCTGATGTAATAAGGAGTAACTTAGGACAATTTTATTTTAGAAAAATAAAGTTAAATTCCACGCGGACGAATTGGCGGGTACAGTTAGTTTAAAATAAAAAACAAACGTCATAACAGAAAAAAATACAGTCAAAATGAAGATGAAATAATAAACTCTGAATCGATATTGATGATTCTTTTGCAATTGATAATGCATATTCCTACTTGATGTATAGATGTATTATTTTTTTTAATCTGTTACAATTAGGATGTGTGAGAGCACAAATATTAAGTGTGGAAACTTATTGCGGCACGTGTTTGCATCTGAACGAGGCGTCATCAGGCATTGAATAGAGTTCGGTTATATTATAGCTTGGAAGCCTAGTGTTGACTATTCGGCGAGCATACCGGTGCGCCGAATTTCGTGTCGCAATATGGGTGTACTGTAGTTACAATAACGGTCGGAATTTGATCGCTATTAGAGAAGGTCAGACATGCTAATTGTAGCGGAATTAAACAAAAAAATATAAATCCATTAAATACTGAATGTGCTTCCACAAAATAACACCTAATTCCATGAATATAATGTATATTTCGTTCTAAATATGACATGATTGGTTTTTATATTTAAAATAATGATTTCTTTGCAGGTGCAGTTCACGATGATACCACCGACGACGTAACAAGAACGTCGAGTGGTATCAGTTATACTTTATACAAACGGTAGGTACCGACCGATCTTTTGATATTATTATTATTATTTTTGTATTGAATTGCAATGAATATAGTTTGGAAGCTGTCATAGATACAGCACTACGAACTATAGCTAGTCTGTGCCCAGAAACAGATATAACTTACCCTGTGCCCAACGCGCGTCACTGCCGGCTCGTCACTGACATATATATATATAGATCAATACATGAAGAAGTGTAAGGTTATAAAATTGTAATTGTAAGGTAATAGTTGATAAATAAATAGATAAATGAATATACAAGTATTAGTAATAATTCACAAATACAATACATGGTGCCGAAACCCGGGAGAAAAACAAAAAGTGCAGATAATACAACATGCAAGAAGATCGTGAGAACGCCGAAAATGTGAGTGGTATTAAACCGCCAAAATACTTTTGTACCAACTCAGAAAATGTCGCCGTCAATTGGAATCTTTGGTTACAACAGTGGGATTGGTATGCTACTGCAACCAATATGCATAAAAAGAAGCCTGAAGTACAGGTAGCTGTTTTTATGACCAGTATAGGACCGGAAGCGGCTGTCATTTTTAATACATTCGGGCTTACACAAAGTCAAAGCACGTGCCTAAAAACAATTAAGGGAAAGTTCACAGCGTATTTTACACCAAAAGTAAATGAAACTTATGAAAGGTATATGTTCAACTTAATTGTACAAAGGGAAAATCAGCCAGTGGACGAATTCATCACGAACCTAAAAAATAAAATAAAAAATTGTGGTTATGGCAATATTGAGGAAAGTATAATAAGAGACAGAATAGTAATGGGCATAAAAAGTGATAGCACACGCGAAAAATTACTAGCTGAAAGTGACCTAACGTTACAAAAAACTATAGACATTTGCCATTCTGCAGAGCAAGTTAAGATGCAGGTGAATTCCATGAAGCAAGCAGTAATAGTAGAAGCCGTAACCTGGAACAAAAATAAAACAAAATTAGCAAATAAACAAGGAAAAAATATGGAAGAAAAATTTCATTGTGGGAGGTGCGATACTGAACATGGAAGAAAAGAATGTCCAGCCTTCAGAAAGATTTGTAAGATTTGTAATAAAAGAAATCATTTCTCTAAATGCTGTAAAACTAAAAAAGTTGAATCGGTAGAAAGAAATAATTATAGTGACAGTTCAGAAGAAGAAATAAACGAAACATTTCATGTATTTTCTTTAAACTCGGAGTGCCTAGACACAGAGGACTGGTTTGAAGAAGCAAGCTTGCCCAGAGATACTACTGTAAAATTTAAATTAGATTCAGGAGCTCAATGCAACGTCATTACAAAAAAAATTGTGGAGAAAACTAAAGTGCAAATAAAAACATCAACAATTAAATGCCTCACTTCATACACAAACCACACATTGCCAGTAGTGGGAGAAGCAAATATTTTAACAAAAATAAAAAATAATAAAGAAGAAATAAAATACTACATTGTTGATAAAAATGTTACACCAATATTGGGAAGAAAGGCATGTGTAAAATTAAATTTAATCAAGAGGATAGAAGCCTTAACTAAAGAAGAAGAACAGGATCTATTTGAAGGTATGGGATGTCTTAAACAATTTAAATATGATATAGATATAATTGATAGTCCTAAATTACCTATATGCCCTGCGAGAAAAGTTCCTTATATCATAAGAGACACTGTGAAAAAAGAATTGGATAGTATGGTTGCACAAAAAGTTATTAAACCAGTGACTAAACCAACACCAGCAGTCTCACCAATGGTGGTAGTAAGGAAAAATAATAAAATTAGACTGTGCATAGATCCTTCTGAAATAAATAAAAATTTAAAAAGAAGGCATTATCCATTAAACACTGTTGAGGAAATAATCGCTCGTATTTATGGGTCTAAATGGTTCACTCTACTGGATTGTAAAAGAGGATTTTGGCAATTACAGGTAACAAAAAGGACCTCGGAGTATCTTACCTTCAGTACCCCCTTTGGGAGGTACTCTTGTTTGAGGATGCCGTTTGGCCTTGCATCTGCACCGGAAGTGTTCCAACAGGTGATGAATCATCTGCTTACGGGCATAAGTAATGTAGAAGTATCAATGGATGATATACTTCTCCATGCAGATACTAAGGAAAAACTGGAAAAAATAACTCAAAAGGTATTACAAAAGTTCAGAAACTCCGGATTGAAATTAAACAAGGAAAAATGTATTTTTAACGTACAAGAAGTAAAATTTCTAGGCCACATAGTTACATGTCAAGGATTAAGGCCAGATCCAGAGAAATTAGAAGCCATAAGTAAAATTAAAGAGCCCCAAAATGTAAAAGAATTACAAAGATTTTTAGGACTAGTTACTTACCTATCCAAATTCATTAAAAATTTAGCAGATATAACAGGTCCATTGAGAGTACTACTCCAAAAAGAAGTAGCCTGGTACTGGAATCATGAGCAAGAGGCATCATTCCTGAAATTAAAAGAATTATTAAAAACACCACCTGTGCTTGGATATTATAACCCAAAAGCTCCAATCATACTTTCAGTAGACGCCAGTAGTTATGCTTGTGGTGGAGTACTAATTCAAGAAGGCAAACCCATAGCCTACTGTGCAAAGTCATTTACTAAAACTGAACAGGGTTACAGCCAATTAGAAAAGGAAGCCTTGGCCATACTTGTAGCTTGCAAGAAATTTCATAGCTACATCTGGGGATGTAAGGATCTAACTATTGAAAGTGATCATAAACCTTTGGAAACAATATTTAAAAAGGCTCTAGTAGAAGCACCTCCCAGACTACAGAGAATCTGCTATCAAATACTACCATATAACCCAAAGGTAATATATAAAAAAGGCAGTGAGTTATATGTAGCAGACACATTGAGTAGAGACTGTAAAAATCTTACCAGTGATGATATATTCAATGATGATAGTCTCCAAATATGCACAATTGTCCCGTTCTCGAAGCCACGCCAAGCAGAACTGAAAATAGAAACAAATAAAAGTGAAGAATTAAAAGAATTAAAAGAAATAATATTAAAAGGTTGGCCAGAAAAAATAGAATATTTAAAAGATAATTTAAGAAGATATTGGTATTACCGTGAAAGCTTAAGCATCAACAATGACATAATTTTCAAAAATGACAGAGTCCTAGTACCAAGATCCATGGTACCAGTGGTACTCAAATATTGCCATTTAAGCCATAAAGGTATTCAAGGCACCCTACAACTAGCAAGAGATAATGTGTTTTGGCCAGACATGACTCGTGACATCACAAATTATGTGAAAGATTGTCGAGCATGCAATAAAGTTCAAAAGGATAATCCTATGGAACCTATACTGCTGCAGGATGTACCTCAAAGACCATGGAGCATCGTGGCAACAGATCTTTTTCACCTGAGAGGAAAAGACTACTTACTTATTGCTGATGCTTATTCTGGATACTTTGACTTCAAGCAACTAACACAAATCACTAGTACAGCAATTATAGGAGTATTAAAATCATGGTTCGCAAACTTTGGAATCCCTGACATATTACAATCAGACGGTGGAAAGCAATATGATTGTGAAGAGTTTAAACAGTTCAAAAACATGTGGAAATTTGAGCATAGAATTTCAAGTCCACATTTTGCTAGATCTAATGGACTTGCAGAAAGATATGTTCAAGAGGCAAAAAATTTGTTGAAGAAATGTCAAGAAGACAATACAGACATTTATTTGGCTCTATTACACCACCGGAACACTCCTAGATTAGATTTAGGCTCACCATGTCAACGCTTAATGAATAGAAGAACTAAAACATTGTTACCAACAAATCAGAAATTGTTTAATTCCAAAGTAATAAAAAATATAAATAAACAATTAAGAAATATAAAGAACACGGAAAAGAAGGAAGCTGACAAAGGGAAAAAGGATAATAAACAGTTTACAAGTGGTGAACAAGTGTGGCTAAGAAAAGATCATCAGAACTGGATACCAGCAAAAATAGTAACCCCTGTATCAGATGGACCACGATCTTATATTGTGCAAACAGAAGATGGAGGAACATATCGTCGAAATGCATGGCACTTAAAACAAGCCGCTATATCGAGCTCAACAGAAGTCGAGCATAATAACAATCTTTTGTCCACAGCAGAAACAGAAACCAGTCCAACAGTAGAACAGCCTTCATCAAGTGTAGAGACTTCCAATCAGAGCCGAACCAATGAAGAGCCGCAACCAGCTCTACCACCAGCAGCTCCTGCAAGCCAACCAATTCAAACCCGCAGCGGTCGCTTAGTAGTGCCCCCCAGGCGCTACCGCTGAAAAGAAAAAGGAGGATGTCATAGATACAGCACTACGAACTATAGCTAGTCTGTGCCCAGAAACAGATATAACTTACCCTGTGCCCAACGCGCGTCACTGCCGGCTCGTCACTGACATATATATATATAGATCAATACATGAAGAAGTGTAAGGTTATAAAATTGTAATTGTAAGGTAATAGTTGATAAATAAATAGATAAATGAATATACAAGTATTAGTAATAATTCACAAATACAATACAGAAGCCCTATTTTGACTTTTCGGTGATCAAACTACGACTTAATATGACGCCGAACAGTTAACACTATAGAGGCTCCCAAACTTTATCGTCAATGATGCCTCGGTTAGAGGAGAAACATGTGTCGAAATATGAGAGTAGATCCGTTAACGGTCGGAGTTTGATCACTAGTGGGGAAAGTCGTAACGCTTCCTGTAGCGGTCAGTCAGTCAGGTCAGTTCTCCGTACTGAATGTTTGTGATCTCACGTGTTAATAGCAGCTGATTTAAACAATATAATATAAATCTATTAAGAGGTACTCATGCCGACGACTTTTTACGAAATTTACTTCGGTCAATATTATATACATTAATTATATATTTTTCGTTTTCAGGCCCAATATTAACATTCCAATAGATTTAAATTATTTAGGTTCTAATCCTGAATTAATTCCTAACACTAAAACAGTCATCCTTGTACATGGTCATGGAGCAACAGCCGCTAATTCAACATTAAATCCACACGTAAAAAACGGTAGGAAAACACCAAATTTATTGCACAATGATAATTAATGTTTTCAACCCACTTTAAAAGGAAGAAGATTTGGTTCGATTGTTTATGCCACATATATATTTTTTGTTTAAGTACAATTTTCGACTCCATATTTTTAAGTATTTAAAGTTAATTTCGATTATTATTGTTTAATCGAAAAGATTGATAAGTATTGACATTAAATTTGACAATAAATCATATTTTAGGGAAATGTGACATAAAAAAATCATCAATAGAAAATAGTTTAAAGAATTTTTTATAAGAATTTGTTACATACCACAAAATTTCTTCATTCGTAAGAAAATGCTAGAAATAAGATATACCGTCCATAAGTTCATATACCGTAATTCCATTTACGATATTGTATGCAAACGTATACACATTGATTTCAATTTCTTCATTACCACACCCGTCGGTAGCTGGATGGTTAGTCAGTACATAACTAAATCCTTACTAATATTATAAATGCGAAAGTAACTCTGTCTGTCTGTCTGTCTGTCTGTCTGTCTGTCTGTCTCGCTTTCACGCCAAAACTACTGAACAGATTTAAATGAAATTTGGTACCCATATAGTCTAGACGCCGAGGAAGGACATAGGCTAATTTTTAATGCGATAAAAGGGTTGTAAGGGGTTGAAAATGGTAATGCAAGGTTATCTTTATGCGGTTGAATACACACTTATTATAATAATAATGGCTTAACTAAAAAATTAGATATTTTGGAAAGTCTACTTTATAATTGTGTTATTAAGTCTATTTTCAAAAATTTTTAATTTCTGAATTACACCAGTATTGTACTAGATATGCGACTTATTAACGCTCATATGTCATAAATAAACATATATGTCATTTGTATAAGCAGCGCGCGCAACTGATTATTGTCAATCCGTTGTCTCCTTATGAATTTAAATGAATAAACGTTTGCTCTGCAATTTTATTTTATAAATACATAATTTTATAAATACATAAATATAATCCTGGTATAGCCTATAACTGATGACCCTGCTCTTGGACAAGAGCGTAAGAACATATTATTAATATTTTTGAAGAATAAAACAACATATAATATTAAAAATGTTGTCAATACATATGAACAACATTTCCTTGGAAGAAACAACATCTACCGTTCCATCCGAGCTATTCAGGTTCGGAATACGCGTTTCTCCATTCTGGCCAGTAGAGTCAGAGATATGGTTCGCGCAAGTAGAGGGATAGTTTGCAATTTAGAATATCACATCTATTATTTTGATTTAACAAAATTTTATTATGTTATTGGCCAACTGGACTACCAATTTTCAAAAGAATTTAAAGAAATGTTTAAACTGTTTATTAAATATAAATAAATATGACATTTAAATTTGTAAATATCACATTGTCACCATTCAAGGGGTAAAATAGAATAGCAGATAAAAGTTTTTATGGAAATTCGTCATATTTGAAGCTAGAACGATGAAGCTTTTTTCTTGCGCTATATTGGGTCAGTTTATTTAATAAATACCTTACTAATATTATGAAAGTGACTCTGTCTGTCTGTCTTAAAAGCCAAAACTTCTGAACTGATTTAAATGAAATTTAAAGTCTAGATCTTGAGATAGGACATAGGTTACTTTTTAATGCTAAAAAGGGTTATAAGAGACTGAAAGAGGAATTTTTTAAAAGTTTAAGCTTCAATCTTATTTTTTTGCGTATTGATTAAATATAATTAACGAAAATGGGTTGTAAGGGTCAAAAGGGGAGTTAAAATGTTGTATGAATGTATGTCATTTTTTAAAGCTAGAAACTTGAAACCCATTTTTTAGGCTGTTGAGAAAATATCAGTATCTACCGCCACAGGACTCAGCCATAAATGGTTACAGTATAGCGATATCTTATCATTGGTACATGATGACACTAATATAAGTAGCATTAAAAAAAACAAGAAAAAGGGTTATAAGGGGTTAATAGTAAAAAGGGTTATAAGTACTATTTTAAAAATAGTAGTTTGAAACTTAGTTTTTGGCTGTTGATTGAATTGTATGGAATTATGTATGGAAATTTCATTTTTGAAGCTAGAACGATGAAACTTTTTTATTGGGTTAGATTATTAATATATATTTTTTATTATTTGCTCAAGGTTACTATTTTACGCGGACGAAGTCGCGGGTACAGCTAGTACATTATAAATGTATTCTTTTATTATTGAGGGATCTGGGCTATTGTCGGGGGCTAAGACCAGTAACACTGCCACTTGTATAGATCTACTGTGCTCGCCCATATTCAAAGTTTGTTATCTAGACCCACGATCGACAAGAATTGAAGGATACTCTTAGGAGCGATTGTTTCTATCTCCTCAGGATAGAGTGTATACTTTCCAAAGATGATATTTCAAGTGAGGGCTACAACCACATGAGATGTGTAGTGGCGTTTCCTCTTCTGCTTGGCAAATTCTGCAGATTGATTTTAAGCTAAGGCCTAATTTCGCCATGTATTTATTCAATTTGTAGTGACCAGTGAGAGCCCTAGTCGTGATGCATAATAATACATATATTATTTTATTAATGTAACTGAAATGACAAACACTGACCTTTCAGTTGATAGTAAGTAAGTGATACCCTGTATCTGTTGCCATTACGGAGTACGAAGGTGCTGTAAAGATGTAGTTACTCTTTGCGAGAATTAATGTAACGTAACCCTTAAAAAACACTCACATCAAATATGTTTAAAAATCACCAAAATCTTACTTTCTTTTCAATTAAAAATCTTTCTGTAATATGTTTTGTTCTGTTGTACATATTAAATTTCAGTAAGTACTTATAATTTATACTATGTAAATAATTATTAATAGTATGTTTAGTTAGATATTTCATTTATATATACCTTTAGTATTTGTATGTATCTTATATTGACATATTATCTACTAGCTGTACCCGCGACTTCGTCCGCGTAAAATAGTAACCTTGAGCAAATAATAAAAAATATATATTAATAATCTAACCCAATAAAAAAGTTTCATCGTTCTAGCTTCAAAAATGAAATTTCCATACATAATTCCATATAATTCAATCAAAAGCCAAAAACTAAGTTTCAAACTACTATTTTTAAAATAGTACTTATAACCCTTTTTACTATTAACCCCTTATAACCCTTTTTCTTGTTTTTTTTAATGCTACTTATATTAGTGTCATCATGTACCAATGATAAGATGTCGCTATACTGTAACCATTTATGGCTGAGTCCTGTGGCGGTAGGTACTGATATTTTCTCAACAACCTAAAAAATGGGTTTCAAGTTTCTAGCTTTAAAAAATGACATACATTCATACAACATTTTAACTCCCCTTTTGACCCTTACAACCCATTTTCGTTAATTATATTTAATCAATACGCAAAAAAATAAGATTGAAGCTTAAACTTTCAAAAATTCCTCTTTCAGTCTCTTATAACCCTTTTTAGCATTAAAAAGTAACCTATGTCCTATCTCAAGATCTAGACTTTAAATTTCATTTAAATCAGTTCAGAAGTTTTGGCTTTTAAGACAGACAGACAGAGTCACTTTCATTTTCATAATATTAGTAAGGTATTTATTAAATAAACTGACCCAAAAAAGCGCAAGAAAAAAGCTTCATCGTTCTAGCTTCAAATATGACGAATTTCCATAAAAACTTTTATCTGCTATTTTATTTTACCCCTTGAATGGTGACAATGTGATATTTACAAATTTAAATGTCATATTTATTTATATTTAATAAACAGTTTAAACATTTCTTTAAATTCTTTTGAAAATTGGTGGTCCAGTTGGCCAATAACATAATAAAATTTTGTTAAATCAAAATAATAGATGTGATATTCTAAATTGCAAACTATCCCTCTACTTGCGCGAACCATATCTCTGACTCTACTGGCCAGAATGGAGAAACGCGTATTCCGAACCTGAATAGCTCGGATGGAACGGTAGATGTTGTTTCTTCCAAGGAAATGTTGTTCATATGTATTGACAACATTTTTAATATTATATGTTGTTTTATTCTTCAAAAATATTAATAATATGTTCTTACGCTCTTGTCCAAGAGCAGGGTCATCAGTTATAGGCTATACCAGGATTATATTTATGTATTTATAAAATTATGTATTTATAAAATAAAATTGCAGAGCAAACGTTTATTCATTTAAATTCATAAGGAGACAACGGATTGACAATAATCAGTTGCGCGCGCTGCTTATACAAATGACATATATGTTTATTTATGACATATGAGCGTTAATAAGTCGCATATCTAGTACAATACTGGTGTAATTCAGAAATTAAAAATTTTTGAAAATAGACTTAATAACACAATTATAAAGTAGACTTTCCAAAATATCTAATTTTTTAGTTAAGCCATTATTATAATAAGTGTGTATTCAACCGCATAAAGATAACCTTGCATTACCATTTTCAACCCCTTACAACCCTTTTTTCGCATTAAAAATTAGCCTATGTCCTTCCTCGGCGTCTAGACTATATGGGTACCAAATTTCATTTAAATCTGTTCAGTAGTTTTGGCGTGAAAGTGAGACAGACAGACAGACAGACAGACAGACAGACAGACAGAGTTACTTTCGCATTTATAATATTAGTAAGGATTTCTATTTTTACATCTTTCCTTTACCCAAAGTTTCGATCTCCCAGAGTGGGTGTAAGATTACTTTAAGCGCTTTTTGTTTAGCATATATGTATTAATAAAGTTATTATTTTGTAAATATATTTTCCGTGCGCAACAATGAGATATCGTTATCATTTATTCTCTTATTCTTTGTCTAAAAGAATGTAATACTTATTTTTTTTGTATGATAAATTATTTTAATATATATTTTGTAAAGTTTTTGCATGCCAAATTATGTAAATTACTATTTACTATGTTTGCCTGCATAAATAATAATTCATTTAAATGATTATAGTTCATGTTTTTCTCTCCTTATGGACGCGCTATATTAAAATGATAATAATGCAACATAGCCTATAATCAGCCGACGATCAAACTGCTTCTAACAATACCTAATTTGCTAATTTTCTGATTAAGTATTAAGATATACAAGATGAGATAGATAAGATGATAAGATTTGGAAAATATCAAAGAGTAGATGAACATACACATATATACGGTCACAATCATAACCTTCGTAAGCTGCGCCATAGTCGAGTAAATATATTGCAACTGAGCTTATTAATTCCTTACAGCAATATTAACCAATGAAGACGTGAACGTGATAGTAGTAGACTGGACTGTATATTCAAGGCTGCCATACTCCAGGGCAGACAGGCATGTTGCAGAAGTCGCCATGAATATACACAGTTTCCTTGAATCACAATTCTTATTATTGGATCCTAGGCTATTTCATTTGGTTGGCTTTAATCTTGGCGCTCATATTGTTGGACAGACAGGCAGATTGTACCAAGGCCTAGTTCCAAGAATTACAGGTATTTATTTTGACTTTTTCTATTCGGTTTTATTTAAATGCCATTGTTAACTTAAAAATAAATCAGCGATTACCTTTTGGAAGTAAATTTCTGGTAACTTCATTATGATGGATGATTGATCTATTTTCTACTTCATCTGTTTCGCCTTGGTGCCTGGCCTGCGTACATCATAAAGATCTAGATCACTATTTATTTATTTATTAAAGTTTATAAAAACTGATAACTTTTATAAATATTTTTATGTCCCTACTAATAAAATTTCAATTGAATATCACAGCAAAATTTTTATTCATAACTAATCAGTGGTAATTTAATTTCTTGTAGTACCTTACTCAAAAACAGTGGAAATTTCTGTTTTATGAACAACATTGTGTATAACCCGATATTTTCATTTTTTGATTATGAAATTATTGGCTAATCCACGTAACTTAGTCTGCGTCACATATGTATATGTCGTGACGTAAAGTTATATAGCTTATCATAGATCTCCGCAATAAATGGGCTACCTAAAACTAAAAGATCTTTCAATTTGAACTTGCAGTTTTTGAGATTACTGAGTTTAATCATACAATGAAATTCTCATAATGTATTTTTATTTTTTATTTTATTTAACTTCAATGCACACAATATACAAAATATAGTAAAGTACATTTGGCGGACTTAACACCATGCGGCATTTTCTACCAGACACTATAATAACATAAACATATGTATATACATGAACAGCGTTACGGAAGCTACCTAATCACGTGACGCCCGTGATACTATTCATGCGTTGTCATTCTGGAGGAGTAACATGTAATGCCCATAAAAGGGGCATTGCATGCATTTACTACATTCTCACCCTCAACTGAAATACAGTTTACAAAGTAGGCTGCTTGGCTGCTGAAATGGATGAGACTGAGTACCCGCAGATTATTTTCTACAAAGTTAATCCCGTTATTTAATTATTTATACTACAAATAAGTTTATAGGATAGCGATCCAGTATTTACAACAATATATTTCATATTGCTGTAATTTTCTAACATTTGGTACATTTCTACAATTTGTCAGGATTTCAGCATGATAAAAGGATGATATTCTATTTTATATGACTTGGAGTTTTCACCATCAACAGCCCCACGGAATTTACAGAAGTTTTGTAATGCCCATATAAACCAATGGAGTCCATTCCGACTCCTACTTAGCTTTTTATGTTACAATGACTACTGTAAACTGTCCTTAAAAATGTTATTCAACCTTATGCAAGAAAAGAAGAATGAAAGCAGCTGTTGAGCTGAGATATAGTGTAAACAAAGATACAGACTGCTATAAAGTGGTGCTACTGATTTTACAAACCGTGTTTGATGATGATGATTTCTGGTTTAATTCTTTCCATTCTGCTGGTAAAATGCGAGATTTTAATTTAAAGTATGTTTTTCTTTTCATATTGTAGCTTTAGATCCTTCCAAGACCAATTATATGCTGAGCAGGACAGACGCCGTCTACGTCGAAGTAATCCATACTAGCGGGGGTACTCCTGTATCAATTGGGCTTGGAATAGTATTGGGAGACTTAGATTTCTTCCCTAATGGCGGTAGAAAGCAACCGGGATGCATGAACTCGACATGTAATCACGACCGAGCATGGTGGTACTTCGCTGGGTCACAGACACCTGGTACATTTATGGCTAGGTGCTGCTCATCACAATCACAGATGAATTCAATCAATTGCATAATAAATGGCGAAATTAGAATGGGAGGAAATGATCTAGCACCGAAACACGGGTAATTATCATAACAATAATATATGTTTATTAACAAAAAGATGTTACATAACAATTTAGTCTTCATTTTTATTTTCTTTTGTAATGGACGTTATAACCCCTAAGACGTAGAGTATTCTTAGGGGTCATAACTCCTGACATTTCCTTGAAACAATTAAACAACAATAATTATATCGTACCAGCAACAAAAACCTTAAAGACTACTATACATTTAATAAACAAGAAAGAATAAGATGGAACATGAAATAATAACAATTCCATAAAGATAATTAATATCTGCTCATACAAATATAATATTTAAAAGAGTCACTTTCTTTACAGTTCCTACATATGTATAAATGTGTATTAGATAAACACGGGCACGCTGTAGTCAAGATGAATAAATTAAAGAAAATAATAACTACTTTTCAAGTATTACGAGTATTACAATCATCAGCAGAGTTTTTATTTACGTTTCCATAATATATAAAATTTAAATCTACCATTGTATTTCACATCTTATTTTTTTATTTTCATTCAATTTCTTTTAAAAATGCTATTATCACTTTCAGATGTCCTAGTGGAATCCTCCTTATCGAGACTTGCCGCTCCTATCCATTTTATTTTGGTTATTAGTAATTAAAATTATTTAGCTAATAAGATATTTAACCACATTTAATAACTTTTACTTGTAAAATAAATTAAATTGATAATTACCTCTTTCAATTTATTCTCTTACTTCGCTCCTATCTATATTTATAGAACATTTTTATCAAGTTAGACTTTGTATAAAGTTATAATGCTGGATACTTCTTTTTCGTTAACATCAGCTAACAAGTAGCTGTTAGCTTTGTAAGCTGTGTTTCGGTTTGTAGGATACGATATAGTAGTGAAATTTCAGGGCCTGTGTAGTATTGTATACTACACAGGCAGAACAGTTAAGTACTTCCGAATTAGTATTGACACGTTTTTTTGATTACATATACAATACTACTATAGTTTTATCCTTACTAATATTGTAAATGTGAAAGGAACTCTATCTCTTTCGCTTTCAAGCCAAAACTACTGAACCGATTTAAATAAAATTTGGTACACAGAGACCCTGAGAAAGGACATAGACTTTTTAATGCGAAAAAAAATGCAAGTTTGTATGGAAATATCGGCATTTCTAAAACTAGATAGGCTATTGATTGAACATAACGGTGACATTGACTATACTAAATAACGATGAATCTAAATTAATACTATATTACCCTGAACAATATGTTGGCTGCATCCGAAGTTGGTTTTGCCAATATTTCATTAAATACTCCTACAGACATAGTCTCTGTCACTACTTTTTTCAAATAGATTTGAAATGAATACCCAAGACGGTACGCCGTATGTGTAGTAGTAAAAATGTACAACACATTGGAATTAGAACCACAAAAAATGCATTTATATATATTCACTGTAATATTAGAGTACCTAAGCCATGTTGACCGGAATGTAACGGGAGATGCAAAGTCTCTGAATTTAGATAAAACAAATACTGAGGAATACCTGTATCGTAACTTTATTGTGCGGATATACTCCTCCTATGAAACCTTAACGTACCCTTCTTGAAAAACTCCATGCTGTCGGCAGGCAATTCATTCCACAACATATCTGTAAGTATGTCGATGACGAGCGGTGGAACTATAAAAGATAGCTATACACATCATGTCAAAAAATGTCTTACAACAACTATAAACACAAAACTTATCCAGTCCAAATCTTTAGATTACTGCTCTATTGAGCACTATTACTTGAAGGAATTTGTTCGTTCAAAGGTAATAGTGCGAGATCTATACAAATTTGACTGCATCGATGTTCTAGCTGACACACACATTAGTCACATTTCCGACGGTCTTGGGTTCAATTCCTCGCATTGAGTATGATTGTTTGTATTCATCTGGGTATTTATATTATATGTATATTATGCGTGTATTTAAAAAAAAAGTATATTTATATCAGTTCTCTAGTACCAGTAACACAAGCTCTGTTTAGCTTGGATTAAATCATGCTCTGTGAATTGTCCTTGGTTATTAATACAATTTTTATTTATAAACTTTCTGTCCTAATCTTATAAGATGTATGAAAGATGTGGGAAGACTGCTATTATAGAAGGTAAGAATAGCAGTAAGTTATTTTTCTAGGCAGAAAGCAAAAATATCGTGGTTGTTTTCAGCAGACAGGAGTCCAGCAGTATAACCGCTTCCAACGTCTGAGGCAACTGAATCTTCATGATGGATACTCATAAATACAAATGTTTGCACTGTACGATCGAATACCGTAAATTGAACCAGTGACCATCGGAAATAAAGTTGTGTGTTTAAACCACTAGATCACCGAGGTTACTATCACTAGATCACTAGATCATCAATTTGTTGTGAAGGTTGTGTTATGTCACAAAAACAATTAGTACCACCATTACGTATACATTTTATATAAAGGAACCTCTAGAGAATCCATGTCAGTAATGAACTCATCAACCATTACCATGATTACCACACTTTATAACACTTATCAACAATACAAATCTATTTAAATAACGAGGTACTTCATTTTCTAAGTAAATAAAAATTTTAATAGCGGTACGTAGATAATTTTACTATTTTGTCATGCTTTTTGTGACAGAATATCGCTTTAGTTCTAAGATAATATTTTACAGACAAAATCATAATAATAGTCGATTGTAACATTTAATGTACCTACTCTCCTGAATTATCATTAATCGACTCAAAAAACCTACGAGCTTGTCAAATCGGATGTATTTTTTTATGTTTATTACATATGACGTTATTTCTAAATTTATTTGGAAAATTCTGTTGTGAAAGACTTCACTTTCAGATTAGACCCATAGGTATTTCACCTATAGGAAATGGGTTTGGTTATGAAATCAAAGCAATATGTTGTTCCTGGCCATATTTATAAATGACTGAAGGTTTATTTCTATGAAAATTATATTATTTACTAGATGTTTCATTGTACCTCATTTTCCAAATCCTTTTTCTCCAATTTGGAATTTGCCCTACTCGCTATGTAAAGTAAATATACTACTCGGAAAAACAATAATATAAACAAAATAATTACATATAGCTTTTAAAACAAATGCAAATGCTTCCATAATACCGTTATCAAATATTTTATTTGTCGGCATATTACTTGAACTACGTTGATTCAAGATTAGTTCGTTATTACAATCGACTATTATTATGATAATTTATTATAATAATAGTCGATTGTAACATTTAATATACCTACTCTCCTGAATTATCATTAATCGACTCAAAAGACCTACGAGCTTGTCAATCGGATGTATTTTTTATGTCTATTACATATGACGTTATTTCTAAATTTATTTGGAAAATTCTGTTGTGACAGACTTCACTTTCAAATTAGACCCATAGGTATTTCACCTATAGGAAATGGGTTTGGTTATGAAATCAAAGCAATATGTTGTTCCTGGCCATATTTATAAATGACTGAAGGTTTATTTCTATGAAAATTATATTATTTACTAGATGTTTCATTGTATATCACTTTCCAAATCCTTTTTCTCCATTTTGGAATTTGCCCTACTCGCTATGTAAAGTAAATATACTACTCGGAAAAACAATTATATAAACAAAATAATTATATATAGCTTTTAAAACATATGCAAATGCTTCCATAATACCGTTATCAAATATTTTATTTGTCGGCATATCACATAAACTACTTTGATTCAAGATTAGTTCGTTATCTTCAAAAATAACAGGTCTATCAATAATTGATTTAGATTTTATATTAATATATATATTGGATGTCTCAATACATCATTTATAACTCGTGATAAATTTGTTGTAAAAATATCTTCTTATAAAAAAAAAACAAATAATTAATACAATGATGAAGACTTTTGCATTTGTTTTATTCATTGCTGTTTTGGGTGAGTTATTCTTAAAATATCTAAAAGTACTTACTACTTTTGTTCAAAGTACAATAGAAAATAGGTATAATACAGATATTCTAAATGAGAAAATTTGCCTCTCCCTCTATTTGTTACCTTTTCAATAAATAAAAATAAAATATCTTTATTTTCATATTTCGCTATTTGCAAAAACAATTGTAAACAAACTACAAGTGTGTTCATATTCGAAATTGGGTTCTATATCTAAGTTACATCTTTAAAACTTATCTCTTCTATATACTTATGTTATAATAATAATATTCAATAAACATAATTATTGAATATTATTGTTTATTTACTATTACACTATTTCTTGAAATAACCATCTGCTGATTTTGGTTATTAAAAATTTACCTAAACATGTAAATGTTCGACGACGCACGAGTAGTGTGAGACTCCTACTCACCATAAACCCCAAGGTATTCCTCCTCGCCGCAATAGTGCCAGGTTCGCGCGATCGAGGTGATAATCAACCGCGACCACAGCAGCGGTTGCCCGCAAGTGGGCCCTTCTCAGCGCGTGGGGGGAACTCTTCCCAGTTCCCCCGCCTCCGCCCACCGTGGGGAAGACGCACCTTAATACATCTCCTTCCAATCTCGGCTCCTGTAGTGTGGACGGCAGACTTGAACCCCTGAGACTGCCGCCCATACAGCGCCGCGCCCACTCCGCACGTGTCTCTACAAGAGTAGAGTCATAGCAGGAGCCTGGAGTCATAGTGGCCCACTAAGGCGACGCTTAACGGCCCGAACGGGCCCCATCTGGGCCCATTGTTCAAGCCTGCGCTGCCCCTCTTCGCCGGACTATCAGCCGACATAGTAGCAATATCCCGAAGGAACTACTACTACCCCGCCCTGGGCGTACCAGAACCAAAACCATTGCTCGGCCACCGTTCCCCGCGGACGTATCCTCGAGGATGGGGAAGCCTCCCAATGGCTGGAATATACGAGGAGGTTGTCCGACTCACGCCCCTAACTCACTATAATCTGATTTATGATAATCAAATTTCGTCTAAAAATGATTTTATAAACATCATATTAATCCTTAAGCAAATAAATACGTATTTATTGTACGGAATAAAACTTAAAAAAAATATAGTTTTCATTATTTGAAAGAACAGTTTAAGACATTAGAACTGATCGTTACTCACTGACTGACATATCAACGCGGTTTACAAATTCTTATATAATCAAAATGGAAATTTCATGAAGTTAAGTTTACGTTTTACAGCAAGTTAGGGAGTCTATCAGAAAATCTTAGAGAATATTAGTAGAAAAAATACCAGCCTTACTAAAATGTTTCGAACAGATTAAAAGTTAAACATATATTGGCCCCGTGCGAAGCCGGGGCGGGTAGCTAGTAAATTATAAAGTGAAAATACTTTAAATCACATAAACTATGTTTTATCTAAAAAAAAAAAAGTAGGCAAGTCGCGGGTGTGCTCAGTTAGTGTTATATAAATCTATATACCATGTTATATATAACTTGTGCAGTTCTATTTAGAGTATTAAGAAGAGTTTAATGTACCGACAAAAATAAAAAACGAACACACCTTGAAGAAAAAGCATTGCCGAAACCATAAATAACAAATTTAAACTAACAACTCAAAACACTCTTTTCAGGCCATGATTTATTAAGGATAACTGAAATACAACTGGACCGATCT